CATTTTAACTGTAATTGAATGTCAAGGCGGAAATTGTTCTTAAGCCTGAATTTTGCCGGCTCGCTGTTTAATAGGGTCTTTCGGTTCCTGACTGACTGTTGTTAGGAAATTTTTTGGAAAATGCCACGTACTGAGCGGAGTTTAGGCTTTTTTAAACATTGCTTTACTTGAGGTAATAAGAGTTTTGAAATTGGGCTCATTCAATTTCCACACGGCAGCTCTGCCTTGTTTTACATCCTCTTTTTTTGTCATTCTTCTGGTATGTACTTATGTTGCTTTTTAGATATTACTAAGCCTGCGTGTGATACCAGACGGCATTATTTTGAGATTGCTATTTATTATTATGTGGGAAAGAAGGTGAAAACACCTTTTAGCTTTCAAGATATGCAAAATATAGAAGACATTTACGAACGTTGTTATATTTTGGGATGATACAGTGAGGAACCAAAAATGGCAACTAGGATCACTCTCTTTGTTGCGTTTCATGTTTGTCCACTGACTTGTATATATTTTATCTATAATATTTTTTAGATATTTGTTCGGAATTGCTCGAAACCACCAATCCAGTTATGGCGGAATTTCCTGGGTTCGGACGTCACTGTGCTTTTGCGGAGTGCCATAGATTAGGTATTCAAATATATTGTATGATGCTTGAGGGTATTATATTTAAGCATGGTCATTCAAAAACTGAATCATTCTGTCAGTGACTTGCCTTCATATGTGTGAGATTTTTAATTCGCTTTATCGCTCGCGATTTCATATACCTTGTACTCTCCTGATTTCTCAGAGTCTAGTCTTGCGCTAGGTTTCTTACTTCTTAAATTATTGCATATCATTCTAGGTTCCAGAACTCATATATTTTAATGGGTTTGCTTCAGGTCTTGTATTTGCACGGTTTTGGGTTTAGCTTTCTGTAACTTTAATGACAGCATTTCAATCAGGTCTATTCGAAGCTTTTTTTTTAATGCAAAAAGTGTAAAACAAAGGTTTTGTAAAAAAAAGTATAATTAAGTATTCATGAAGCTATTTTCACAGCTAGTGGCTGGCTAAGCAAAAAATGAATGTCTCTTGGTAGGCATTACGTAGCGTTTCAAAATGAAGTTATACCATAGTCAAAAATAACGGAATGTGAATTTAATACAGTGTAAGTCTTGAGTTAGGACTTGACTCAAAAGCCTTCGGTGTAGATTTTGACGCTTATTCATAACTGCTTGATGCTTTAAGTGAGGAATAACAGAAAGTCACTGTTATTAGCTAGATCTCTAAAAATAAGAAGAAAAGAGTGCGTGGAAGAGATTTTAGGCCTGTTTGAACTTTAACCCACGAGTCGAACTTTTAGGTTTTTTTGGAGATTTTTGTAAATCAAATAATAGCTCGTTCAGATAACTCAGCAGTTTAAAGTTCGTACTAAAGATTTTGAGATAAGTCTGTGGAGAAGCTCATCAGAATTTTCTAGCATATCGTGGAGTTCATTTCAGCAGTGCAAAAAAGGACTAGAAAAGTTTGTAAGATTATCTTCCATGAAAGAGAAAATTAGGCAAGCAGTTGAGGAGGACAAATTCTAACAGTCAACTAAGACGGACAATCTAAGGAGCTCTTCTGCGCGCAAAGGGCAGAGGACTGTTTTAGATATGCGGATTCCTTCTTCTTCTGCAGTGTCCTCGAGTTTTTTCTACAGGTAGCCCAGGTTTTCATTCACAGTAGTAAGCAATTTTTTCTGTTTACTTTGCATTCTTACTGGAAGCTTTTGATTTCGGTAATGATTCGCGTTTTATTGAAACAAAATTAAGTTAAGCTGAAAGTCATAAGAAATCTAGGCTTACTTTTCTAAAATTTGCTTTTTTGTAGCTTTCACTTTCTTTCGCTTTTGCATTTTTAATTCAAAGTTTATTCATAACCTATTCTCCTGAGGATCTCAAGGAGGGTCCAAAATCTTTTTCTTTCTTCAGTTAATAGTGGTTTTGCTCAAAATTTGATCGAACAGGACCAGTCGAAAGTTCATTCTTGTAAATTCATCCACCTTTAATTGAAAGCTTCTTTTTTTTTTTATTTTTTTGTTTTGCTAAATATTCTCTGAACTTTCCAGTCTCATATTCGAATTTTTCATGTAATTACCATTTCTAAAGCTCTTCGACAGCTCAGCTGTTTTTTCATGGTTCTTTACATTCTTTCTTTTGCGCGATTTAGTTTAAAAGGTGAGCTGCATTTGCCGTCATAAGGAACATACATCGATTGCTTAAAACGTAATGCAGTAAACCCACTCCCTACCGAATTCTTTTCATTGAAATCAGCTTAGGAACTGTGAGCCATAAAAAGCGCTTCACATCAGGATTTTTTACGTGAATTTCTGAAAAAAGGCATTTTCAACATTAGCCACAATTTGAGTCTTTTTTAGTAGAACTCTCTACAAGTCTGATAGTATGGCATAGGTAATGCGGTAAAAATACTTTTTATACCTGCTCCAACTTCGATGCACCGTCTTTTGTCGCACATTTCAGTGGTCTCATCCATGAGCGTTATTATTGGGGAATAAGGCAGATAACGCATTACAGTTGAGAATCAATTTTGTAATACACATTTTCTTTTTGCTCTTGAATAATACTTTTTCAACAACTCAGAACTTGTTGACGGCTTAATTTTGCAAGGAGCGTAACCGATTTGTTAAAATTCCACTTATATGGCTAGCTGACATATTAGCGTATGCCTTCGTAACGCAAGGTTGAGTAGAAATTTGCTGATGCCTTTCGTCATCTTTGTTAACAGACTGACTGATCTTTAATTTTTACACTTTTCACTCTCTGTGTTAGTTGGAAGCTTTGCCGAGTTATCTCCCACTTCTACTCCCACACTGTCAGTCATAAGTACCCAAACAGAGATACTTCAGGAATTAGCACGTTAAATTCCCTAGCTTACTACCGACTGTATACACCAACCTTTTTCCTTAAGACATCGCTCTTGCGCAATCAATTCACAGCAGTCATTTGACACACTAGGACTTCTTGTTGAACGGACTTTAACCCAATCCATTATGATTATATTCGAGCTTAGATGCTTGTCCTGGGAAAATTTGTGCTTTTTCTTGCTATCTTTGAAGATCGAGTTAAATTCTGCCACCACGGTGACCTTCGTTATGGCAGCGTTTGCGGCAAAAGAATATACAAAAATAATTTCCCAGACCACACTTTCAGATACTTGTCTTGCAATAATCCAGTAATAAATGAAGATGGCTTCCGTTGTTCTTGTTGTCGATTTTACTCATTAACTTGCAAGTACAGGTCGACATATTGATTCAAAGGTACTACTCACGAAATTAAATACAAAAAAAGTTACTTTTTCGACCTGCGGAACTTAAAAATCAAAATTGCAAAGAAATTTTAGGTAGATATTAAAGAAATACAAACTGTAACTGGAGGGTTTTTTTTCGGAAGTTTCACTGAAACTTACTGAAAACGGCAATTGTTTAAGGAGCTTCTCAAATGTCTTGATTTTATCAGGCTTGTCAGTATATTCAGATACCGAAAAAGGCATTTAAAGTTGCCAACAAGAACGAAGAATCTGTAGAAAAATTATAGCAAAAATATGACCAAGTCGATTATTACAAACATTGCGGAAGAGACTTGAGGTCCTGAATGGCCGAACCTAGAAATTTTAAGGGATTGAGGAAATTTGATTTGCATTTCTAATAGCTCCTGTAGGTTGAAGAGAATGAGGTTTTCAGTCCACTGATGTTTCATCTAATTCAAATTCTGCCTCAGGCAGAAGTAAGAGTAATCTGTTTTTGTGATTTTTATTTGAACTAGGAACCTTCGGTTCTTGGGAGAGGCTCTGGCTATTTCATTTTAAGAGGCCGGTTTGAATAAGAACAAAGCTTTGTTATCGTTTGTGGCCTAGATCAATGTGAGCAATTGGCAGTGCCATTCAATGTGAAGAGAATAGTCATATTTACGAACTTTGAACATTGGAGACTTCTGAGCCAGCGCTCACAACAATAATTTAACTGTAAAGTGATTCGAACGCTTGACAGTAGTTACAGAATCACTAATTGAAATATTTTTACTAAATCCTCATCAACTCATTGTTGCAGTACTGGCGACAGAAAACGACAGGCAGATTAATTGACTAGTAGTCAGATGTCCGCTAAAGTAGTTTCTTTTTTTTTTTTTTTGGCAGGCAGTGAATAGTTTTTGTCTCAACTTTTCGATTTTCTTCTCAGATCGATGCATTCAGTCTAGACGCACTTATTTTTGGCGGTAGTAGTCCTCCTGATCGACAAACGATCTAAAAGATAAGTATTCTTCAAGTCGCAGTAATAATTTTTATCATAGTTTCTGTTAGGCATTAAGTTTTTTAAGCAGTCTCTTACTATAACATGGAAGAGTCGAATATTTTTAAAGTTTGCTTACTAACACAGCTTTAAGACACTGACAGCAGAGCTGTTGTTTGGAAGATCTGTCTTGGTTTTCTCCTCTCTGCGCCTCTTTTTAATTGATCCGTTGTTTCTTCAAACTCAATCTGGGATTTTTTTTAGGAGGCTTCCTCGAACTAAATAACAGCCTATTTGGTCTAAAAACGTTTTCAAGCGTTTTGAGTTGAGCCTATTTGAAAGCCCATTAGGATTCCTAGGCATACCGTGCAGTATAGTTGGATGGCTCACGAAGGCTTTAGAAAGATTTTCAAAAGTATCGATAACGAACGGGGGAATTAGGCAAACAATTTACAAAAGGCAAGATGAATCTATTTTAGTACATAGCTGAACGAGGCTAGTCACTTTTCAGATCAAGAAAAACTAAAAAAAAAGGAAAGAAAAGCTGCATAAGAATTTTTGGAATTAAAAGTTGCCAAATCATCGCATTATGGGAGGACAGGTCAAGGGAACGAGAAACCCTTAAGCCATTTCCCTAAAAATTTGAGAGAACTAAAAGACAAACGCCTTTCTAGCTTTCCAACAAAATATCGAGCCTAATAACTTTAACAGTAACAAAAATAACAATGAAATTTGACTAGCTGATGTTCTTTGTATTGGTAGCTCCTGTGCTCTGACCTTATTTCATAGATCACTTCTGGTGTTGCACATGCGATACTTTGTAAGAAAGATCATGAAGGTGTCTGAAATCACAAAATTAATTAACTGAGAAATCTGAAAATGAAGAGAGGACGTTGTAAAAAATAACTGAGACAGAGAAACTAAATTTTGGTTACATCTGTAATCTCTAGCTTCTATTTTTTGTGTTTGAAAATTGATCTCTTCTGATGCCTTTGACTGTTCAGATTTTCTACCTGTTCGGTGTGACGCGTGCGGCAGAGAGTTTTGTGCTGATCACTATTTTTATGATGCGCATCACTGCGAGGATTCTGGCAGAAAGGTAGTATTTTGAATTTTAAAACTTTGAGTTTGAGTATTTTTCGAGTTATTCAAAGGATTTGTTTGTCGCAGGACGTTCAAGTTCCAATTTGTCCTCTGTGTGGCAAAGCTGTGCCTGTCGCGCGTGACGAACTTCCTGACGAACCTATGAACCGCCATATTGAAACAGGTTGTTTATCAAGCCCAGCGCAGTCTAGTCGTGGTCAGATCTACAAACATAGATGTGCAGTTAAAACGTGTAGAAGACGAGAGGTACTTACATTTTACCTGGTTAACTTTCCTGTCTCAGACTGTAGATTTAATTTGTACAGTCAATGATTATTGCTTTGAAGTGGTTTTGGTAGGCAAAATTTTTCACTCAACTCAATTCATCTATTTGTACTGTATACTAATTTTTCTTATTGAGCTAACCGTTATCACTTACAGTTAGTACCTATGAGGTGTGAAAAATGCGGGCTTAACTTTTGTTTAAGCCATCGTTTTCCGGCCGATCATGATTGTGGTAACCAAACATGTTCATCAAAAATTTCTTTAGCAGGGTAATTTTACTGTAATTTTTGGCTTCACTTCTTTTGAGTTTCGTGCGTTTGGTGCTTCCCGAATAAGGAAACTTAACGGGGAGATTATTTTAAAAGCTTCTGAAAGTTTCTGTTTTAGCCAGGCTGCGTTGAAGCGTCAGGAGGGACGAAATAAAATTATTCATAACGGCGCACAGCAAGTTTCGGCGTCCAGTCAGCTGGTAACATCCGCATACTGTGTTTGAGCTAAAAGCCTTGTCGCCTCAATTTTTTTACACAGAGGAAATATGACTAGCTGATTTTTTAGTCCGAAGATGAAGCTCTGGCGAAAGCTTTACATATGTCAATCAATGGGGAGTCTCCTTATATGAGTCTTGAAGAGTCGGACCTTGCATATGCTAGAGAACTCCAGGAACGAGAATCCCAGTTTGTTTCCGCCTAATGTAGTAATAAAATTTGCTTATTTTCTATGGTAATTTAGTAGGAATCTGTTTTTGCTGGTTTCACACGTTGCGTGAAATTCGAATTTTATTTTTTTGCTGAGTAATATATTATACTTCACATGCTATCTTTTTTAGGAGAACCGTACAGACATCGCGATCACGAAACATTCCATTCATCGATAGATGTAAAATTTCCTGATTTTGCTTATGCTTTTTTTCGTGCATTATCGTTTATGGTGTGATACTCTTTGCAAGTGCCGAGTTTTTCGTCGCTTTGAGAACTGCCACCTTAACAGTTGATTTCAGCTGTCTTTCCTTGAGGAAATGCTTGCTAGTTTATGGGACAGTAATTGTTTCGAATTCGTTTTTTACAACATTATATTACAGGAACATATTTACTATTTGTTAACTTCTTGAAATGATTAGCTTTTTGCTTGATCAGTGTACATTAGGTTTCGCCACGTGCTTAAGATTGCACATTTAATTGTTTTCAACGTTTTTCATTTTCGTTCTCACTGTCACGAGGGGGCACATAATTTGTAATTCTTTGCTGTGCTAATCGTAACCTCTTTTTCTTTGGAAGTTGTTCTCTTCTTTGTTTGGTCTTACACTTTTCTTTTTTAATCTCATTTCAAAGAAAAATTGATGTATTTGGATTTAATGTATCATGCCTCTCTTTTTCATTTTGGGGTTGTTAAGCTGAGGTCGTTCACTATAAATTTGAATGCTCATTGTGGTTCTTTGAATGTCGCATTGTTATATTTGTATGTGATTTTACTGCTAGTAAACTTGTTTCAACACTGGGCTGTGATGCTACCGTTTTTAAGCAGAGTGGCTCTTTCAAGGGTTGAACATTAGAGGAAGGGAGGCTGTTGAGAGTGGATCTGTTCTGAAACAAGTTTGGAGGATTTGGTGTACTCTTCCGTAAGTTCTTCCTTCACTGTAAGTCTTGAGATGGTTTTATCATCCCACCATCGGTGTCACTGCTGGAAAAGAGTTGTCCCAGAAGCTAAATCATTATTTAGGTGGAGTGTTTGGTGTATCAAGAGTACGGTTTGGTTAGTAAGGCAAGTGGTGAGTTGTGAGCACGATGTCACGTAGTGTTATTGGCACCGTTTTACTCGGAAGAATTGGTAAAGGCGCTGAATAGGAGACATCTAAAATGACTGATTTGAAGGGAGTAGGCGCGCTGAATAGTTTGTTCAGCCACTTCTGGAACACTTGAGTAGTACTTGACAGTATTTGGAGTGCACAGCGAAACATGACTGGCATACGGTGACAGTGACCAGTGGTCAGAAGTTGCAAAATTCATTTCTCAGCCGTTTATTTTCTTCGTTCCTTTTCGTCGTTCTGCTCAAATCCTTAATCGTTTTCGTATTTATTTCTTAATAAGTTCCGTTTGATAACTTCTTTCGTCTTCTTTTCAAAAAATGTTCAAAAAAAAGCATTAAGGAAATTGTTAAAGAGACGGCAAAAGGTTACCTTTTTGTTTTTAAGTTCTGGCCGTTTAGAATTTGATAAGATCTTTTATTTGAAAGTATTGAACAATAAGGGTAGTGTAGCTGGGTTTTCGCCTAAGGAAGTGCTAATAGGTCATTATTTAAAGTCTTCCTATTTTTGTTCCTCTTTTTTACAACTAATAATCG